TCTCTCACTGCAACCTTCACCCGCCAGGTTCAAGTGATTCTCCTGCCTCAACCTCCCAAATAGCTGGGACTAAAGGCACGTGCTACCATACCTGGCTAATTACTTGAACATAAACTCCCTAGGTACAGATTCCATTTGAATACAGTATCAAATGGGTGAATGGATAATGGACAGATGGATGGATGGAATCTGCTGATGGTAGCTGCCAGGGTTCCTTACAAGCTCATTTTTTTTTTTTGAGACAGAATCTTACTTTGTTGCCCAGGCTGGAATGCAGTGGCGCAGCCTTGGCTCACTGCAACCTCTGCCTCCCTGGTTCAAGTAATTCTCTGCCTCAGCCTCCAGAGTAGTTGGGATTACAGGCTCCCGCCACCACACCTGGCTAATTTTTTTTGTATTTTTAGTAGAGATGAGGTTTCATCATTTTGACCAGTCTGGTCTTATACTCTTGCCCTCGTGATCCACCCACCTTGGCCTCACAAAGTGCTGGGGTTACAGGGGTGAGCCACCACACCCGGCCTTCCAAAATATTTTTATACTAATCATTGTAGGCAGGGTGTCAACTGTCTTTCCTACTCAGAATACTTCCTTACTTCATGATTCTTTGGGCTCTAGACAAATGTGGTATTAATAAATAAAATGTAGGCCAGGTGTGGTGGCTCACATTTGTAATCCACACTTTGGGAGGCTGAGGAGGGTAAATCATGAGGTCAAGAGTTCAAGACCAGCCTGACCAACATGGTGAAACCCCGTCTCTACTAAAAATACAAAAGTTAGCCAGGCATGGTGGTATGCTCTGGAATCCCAGCTACTCAGGAGGCTGAGGCAGGGAATTGCTTGAACCTGGGAGGCAGAGGTTGCAGTGAGCCGAGATCAGGCCATTGCATTCCAGCCTGGGCAAGAGGAGCAAAACTCTGTCTCAAAATGAATAATTCTATTTATTTATTTATTTTTTTTTGAGATGGAGTTTCGCTCTTGTTACCCAGGCTGGAGTGCAACGGCGCGATCTCGGCTCACGGCAACCTCCGTCTCCTGGGTTCAGGCAATTCTCCTGCCTCAGCCTCCTGAGTAGCTGGGATTACAGGCACGCGCCACCATGCCCAGCTAATGTTTTGTATTTTTAGTAGAGACGGGGTTTCACCATGTTGACCAGGATGGTCTCGATCTCTTGACCTCGTGATCCACCCGCCTCGGCCTCCCAAAGTGCTGGGATTACAGGCTTGAGCCACCGCGCCCGGCCTGTCTGCTAATTTTTGTATTTTCAGTAGAGACAGGGTTTTGACATGTTGGTCAGGCTGGTCTCGAACTCCCAACCTTAGATGATCCGCCCTCCTCATCCTCCCCAAGTACTGGGATTACAGGCATGAGCCACCATGCCTGGCCAGCTACTGTCTTTTCTTTGACCCTTTCTTTCCAGTTTTTAAAGATAAAGCAGGAAATAATCTTCTCTGAAGATACTTGATACAAATTCTCCAAACTCAAAAACACATGCTTCCACTTCATTAATAAAAATTTACTGCAGTTTGGCACCTGGTTCTAGTTCAGCTGGTGGATGAGCTGATTGATGTGTTCACCCCAATAGCCAGGTGTGCCCATCTCCTTGAGGAAGCCCACTCTATTTTTGGCAGGATGACTGGCCACTGAGAGGTGGAAAGGGCGCAAGAAGCATGAGATCTCCTGGAAATGCTTCCTCAGGAAGGCAATTTCATGAATGAGGTCTTCCAAGCAAATGACACCAAACTTCCCCAGGTGCTCCCCAATCACAGTGTTGTCTGTCAGAGGGATGGTCTTATTCTTGACCCTGGCTTGTCCATGTTTCAAAATGGGTTCCCGGACAGACTTCAGATTTGGAAATCCCCTGGTCATATAAGGTTCCACTATACGCAGCATCTTTAGGTTCTGGGGAGTGACTTTTACAAAGACACCACTAAAAATTTTCTTTAGGTGAAGTCTTGCAATGGTTCTCTGCACCAGTAAACTCACACCATCAATCCTTTCAATGCGTACAACAAAGGCCAAAGAATGTTTATCTGGCAATTCCAAGGCACGAGGCTTCACTTCCAGTCGTCTGACACGCACCTTGTCACGTGTCTGCCGCCAGGAATCATGTAGGAATGATTCCAATCGCTTAAACCTGGGCCCTTTTCCTTTCCTCTGCTCCTTCTTTGCCAAAAGTACCTGCTTTGCCTGAGTGGCTTTGAGGGCTTGATAAGCCTTCCTCTTTTTCAGGAGATTTTCTGGAACCAAAGGGGTTTTTCTTTGCTTTTGCTCCTCCATCTTTCCGGTGTAAAGTGATTATTTTTTACAACCCCCTTAACCGTTTTTGGAAATGATGTTTTTGATTTTCAGAAATTAACATAAAATCAAGAAGCAAGATTTCATAAGCTGAGAACTCTGGATAGCAGATCAGCTTTACCTATGCTGCTTTGCCTTCAACTAGAGTGTATGATGGTAGATTATTTCCTGTATGTATGAAAGGAGCAGAAATAAATACTTTTTCTAATTAAAAATACATACATACATACATACATAAAAATAAGGCCGGGCGCAGTGGTTTATGCCTGTAATCCCAGCACTTTGGGAGGCCGAGGCTGGCGGATCATTTGAGGTCAGGAGTACAAGAGCAGCCAGGCCAACATGGTGAAACCCTGTCTCTACTGAAAATACAAAAATTAGCTAGGCATGGTGGTGGGCACCTGTAATCCCAGCTACTCAGGAGGCTGAGGAGGGAGAATCACTTGAACCTGGGAGATAGAGTTTGCAGTGAACTGAGATTGCGCCACTGCCCTCCAGCTTGGGTGACAGAGCGAGACTCTGTCTCATAAATAAATAAATAAGACTGGTATTAGCCGGGTGTGGTGGCATGCACCTGTAATCTCAGCTACTTGGGAGGCTGAGGCAGGACAATCACTTGAACCTGGAAGGTGGAGGTTGCGGTGAGCAGAGATTGCACCATTGCACTCCAGCCTGTGTAACAAGAGTGAAACTCCGTCTCAAAAAAAA